AATTTCCTCTTCTCTACAGAATTCTTGAACCTATAGGGATACACCCCTTACAGGACTTTGGTCTTTAGGAAGGAAGGCAGACCAGGAAATCCCAATGTATCTGAGCTAAACAAAGGCAGCCTTAGATGCACAATAGGCAGAATTCCATAGTTCCCTTCCCCTTCCTTTACCCTTTCTGTTCATTTTATCGTGTACAAATGCATTTAGGTCCTCTCTTTCTTTAATTAAAGATAAGTCACTGGTTCTATACCTCAAGGATAAATACCATTAATTATGTTTCATTCTGCTTTGTCTAATGTACTCATCTTAGAATATTTAATTGTATTTTTGCTAATACCCATTGGTTGAATAATTTTTCTTTTTTTTTTTTAGAGTGGAAGCTTTAAGCAGATTATGCCTTTTCTGTCAATGTTACCCAAGACTCATAAAATTTTGCTTGTTTTGTTCCAAATAAAAGTTCATTTTCCATTTTAAAAATAATTTTTAAATAAAGAAAACTTAGAGCAATACCAATTTTCAGCTTAGTTGTGCAAAATTACCTTAAGTATAGTGATACTGGAGATTTTCAAGATGCAATGGGACAGGGTGCTAGATGAACTCACTGTGAGAGGTTGGACCAGATAAACTTTTGAGGTCCCTTCCAACTCTGGCTGCTCAATTCTTCACCACTTCCTCCTTCACCTTTCAAAAGCAAAGCTTCTCCAGTAAACATTCTTTCCATTTCAATCCTGAAAACCCTATTTTTGTAGTGACAATGAGAAACTGAGAAGAACTCAAAATACAATGTTCACTGGTGCCAAAAGTTTGTAATGAAGGCAGATTTCCAGCTGAAGCCAATTTTTTTTGGATACTTGATGCCATGTTTTTGAGATGGCCAAAATTCTTGATTGACCAATGCAATGACTGTAAATACATACTGAACACAAAATTTGGTCAATAATCTTAATTAATCCCTAATAAATTGCTGTGCAAAAAATGGTATTTTTATGGGCCATGTAAGGATTTACTTGGTTACTGTCATGGTACAGTGTAGCTCACAGCATAGGTTCCAGAGCTCCTGAACTCTTAAACTACATTGTAGATAAAATAAAACATTTTCCATTCAAAAAGTTGAGATAGCATTTCTGAAATGTCCACTAAAAATACTTCATAAACTTTATGGCAATTTTTTAAAATAAAGTATTCATACGAGGTGTTAGTGGGATTTACTTATCACCTGTAATTACAAACTTGTAAATCCTAGTGCCAGCCTATTCCTAGGTATGGGCTGTATTTATATGTGGTGGCACAATATTCCAGCTTAGGTGTCTAAAGTTAGAATTCCAAATCCATGCACTAAGGAATAAAAGAACATACTGATTTTAGACTGTACTTGTTCTAAGCAATGAGCAGAATAGATAAGTGTAAAAATACAGGTGGGGAGGTGGGGGGAAAAGAAATAGAAATCACAAAAAATTAAAGGGGTGTTATTTCTGGAAAATCAGCAGTATAGAGTTGATGGATGCTGGTTAGGTAAAAGAAGCAGTTACTGAGGAATACTTTTTGCATTGAACTCAGGGAAAAAATATGTAGTTGAACCATTATATTGCATTGAAGTTAAGTGAAACCAGAGAGGTAAAAATGAAATGGAAACAGCCCCAAAACACAATGTGATTGTGACTCTCAAGTGGATGAAGAGCTCACTGGATTATTCAAGGTGCAGACATAATGGAAACAGGTGCAACAGTGTATTTTGGTGAAATAAAAGAGCAGTAATAGCGAGGCTGCTACCTTAGCTGAGCTTAAACAGCTGAAAATTGGAGAAGAAACAGAGATGTGACAGAATAGAGCTCCTGCAGCTTTTTGATAGCGATGAGAAATATAACTGTCCTGGTGGACAGACCCAGGTTAGTGAATAGTATGAAGGAACATTCCTAGGCAATGAAAAACCAATTACCTAAACTATTACAATGACATTATAGCCTGACACAGCTTTGACTCAAGATATTTAGCCCTTGCCTAAATGCTGGGCACAGTCTGAGAATCAATATGGACAAATAAACATTCGAAGCTATAATCTATAAGATAACTTTTCTATTTTGAAGACTAAGGGAGATCAAGAGTGTGGACAAAGTTATATTGTGACAGTCAGCCTCAGTGCTAGAAATGTTAATTTATTTGTATATAGTTCAACTTTCAAGAGTAGAGCCTGCAGACCTGATCCCAAGACTAGTTTTGCTCATCACTTCAGTGGAACTTGGACCCAAAAGCTTTTGAGCTGCAGTGGTTCTGAAGAAATTTTAAAAGAAAAATCTGCTTTGGCTATGTAAGAGCATTGTAAGCTATTTCATGCTAAGATTATTGTATAATGTACTTTTACTATGAACTGGAAAAATAGCTCTGCAATTAGTTCAGTGAATTGGTTATTCCAAAATAGAGGTATTGGTAGCAAAAACACAGTGATTAAACCATGTCCACCATGGGAGAGAAAAAGTTTTCCCTGAGGAACAGAACACTTTGCCTCGTAAAAAGGTGCAATGAGCACAGAGGTGGAGGTACACTGCATTGTTCTGTTAAATGTTCATTCTGGGAAGCTACTGGGTAAACCATCTTAGGCAGGCAGTGGAACAGACATAAATGTCAAAAGGCATGATGCACAGCCAGCTGCTAACTCATGGAAGCAGATAAAGTTACTCACAGATAAAGTTACACCTCTTTCTTTGAACCAAGGTGCATATTTACACCACACTGAGCACAGTGATGACATGAAAGCAATTAATGAAAATCTGTGCCATTTTATGAACTGTAATACACCTCTTCTTTTACCCAGAGATAATTTCATCCATCATTAACTGTAGGCACCTTGGGAAAGTCTGGAAGAACTGCTGCTAAGCACAGTACTGCATAAGAAACAGCAGACAGAAGTAAGCTTCTTCTTAGCCTGCAGTTAAAGAGAAGGACTTATGAACAGAAAATTAAAATTCTGCAGCTGTAGTTTGTGATTAGGCCAGGTCTAAACAATTTTTGGTCAGAGCAAAACAGGAACCTGTCTTCCTGACATAATCTATTATATGCATTAAATCTAGTACATTGCCCTGAGAAATAGTACTTTAGCTTTTATAACTAATGTATGTCTGTCTGTTCTTTCATCTACATAAAAATGCATTAACTAGATATCCTGTATTCTTGTCAAATTCTGACTTTGCTTGTTCTGCATTTATTTATCCTGCATTAGACAGGTAACTGTAAATACATTATTACCACAATCCAATCACAGCAAATATTATGGAGCATCTGGGAAAATATTTCAACCGCTCGTTTGCAGCAATTGACTTGATAAAGTACTTCACATGCAGCCCTTGTATTTTACTGTAAAATTATTAGCATGATTGTTTACTGGGATATAGGGTCTAAATGTCTTCAACTGGAGAAACTTGGTTCAGGAAGGAAGGTACTTTGCCTTCCTCTGAAGCAGCCTAATTTGATGTGGTGCAGGATTTTATGTGAAATATATATTCCATTCATGTGGGAAATATAATTTTCCAAACATCTTCCTGTGAGGGTTGTGTCTTTGAATAGGATGACCTGCTAGATCTGACTGTGTCACTCAGAGTCTTACAGATCACAGCTCAGATCTACCAGACTTCAGGCATTCAGCAATGTTTTGCTTGTTTCTTCTCTCTGAGCACACATCAAACCAGGAACATTGTTGACATCTGGAAAATAAGGTGACAGATTATATGAGAAAACTACTGGCCAAATCAGATATGCGCCCAGAGGGATGTGGAATTGTCACTGTGACCCAGGAGCTCACTGGTGAGCAACCCCTCCTCAAAGGCTGAAAAGGCAAAGACCAAAGACATTGTTAACCAAGGAGTGCTACTGAAAAAGCCTTGATGCCTCAGGTCAGTAAACACAATCAGGTGACAACAGTAATCTGGTTCTGTCTATTAGTGGGTCTCAAAAAAACTACAGTGCTGGAGGCTTGGGTACTACCACACTGAAACATCAGGGATTTCACTGAGATTTAAATAGTAGTAGCATTGAGCACTTCTGAAAATTATCATCTTCTAATATCTTAAAACTGTCTGAAATACTCAAATTTGCATTAAAATCAGCATAACATCTTAATCAAAATTGCCTGAAAACATCAGCATTTCTATATGGTAAGTATGCTACACTGGATGAGAATTTATCCATTTTCTTAATTCAATAGTTTCATGAATCCACCCTTCCTGCCTTCTTTCATACAAACTTATATCTCACATATGATAATCTCTCTAAGCAATTCCTGCTACTTGCTAGATTTCCCCTCTTAACCTGTGGTCTTCTATGTTACTTAAGGCAAGTTTCACACTTTTGAAAATAGTTCATTTGCAACAGATAGCAATTTCTGTTCATTCAAGGGTTTGATACAGTATTAGTCCTCTTCATTACTGTTTACTATAAGATTTTTATATGTCATATAATATGCTTGTCCTGGGAGCTCTGAGGTGGCTGCTCTGAACTTTGTAGGCATGCTTCTATTGCCCAGTTTTCTCCTTTTCTCTTTTTAAAGCTCAAGAATTATAAAATATTATGCAGGAACGAAAGGCCCCAAAGGTGCAAATTCCATGTAAAATATAATTTTATATATCCTTTTGACAATAATGACAGACAATCATTTTAGTTTTCTCAGTAGGAATGTGGGCAGAGGTTATTAGCTCTCAAAATCCTGGAACAATATACAGTACCAAAGTAAAAATCTGACTTCCCCTATAAACAAACTTTCTCCTCTAAGAAACACTTTGATTCACAAGTCTATTGAGCAAAATAAACATTAATACTCAAATTCAATCCTTATGATTGGCAAGAGGGAATGTAAGAGGAGACCACATACAGCAACAATAGCCAGATAATGCAATAATGATACTATCTGTTTTTTTGGTCCACTATCTACCCCTGCAACCCTTTATCACTATCTGAGTACTTTTGCCTGACTGATTGTGAATTTCTATTCTGTATCATTTAATGCAACCTACCTCATTATAATCCTCTTGACAGCACAGAAGTAAGAGATGATCTGACGGAGTAAGCTGCCAGAAATAAAAGATATTTTAGCAGAAGAAAGCTTCTTTAAACAATATGTTTCTGAAGGGAAATTCATCAAGGACAAGAGCAGCAACAGAGTAATTTTTTAACAGTTAAGACATGAAATACAGACTACTGTGTAAAGCACAACTTTGCCAAATTTCATATGGAAGATTGAAACACAGCACTATGGGCAGATTTGTAATAAGGCATCAGGGCTATCCATCAGTGTTCTTATGTAACAATCCTAAAAGGGATATCTGTTAATTAAATGGGATTCTGCCAGTTTTATGACAAATTCAAGCTAAATATCTGAAGATCCTTGATTTTTGGGATGATTAAAAATTGAGCATTAATCTGTACATAACCTTTTGGATGATGACATTTTGAGCTTTCTCATTGCCAGAAACTTATTAAAAGCTTATTAAATTTACCTCTAATATCTATGCACCTACAGAGAATCAACTAGAACTTGCATTTTTGAGTTAATCATTACTGCAGCAGATGCTATTATTTTTCCTCAGTAGAATCAAATAGGTCCAAGAGCAATTTGGTTTAGTCTAGGTCAGCACTTTCCAACACATTAAGTCTATTTGGAGCTGGTTCATGGTTTTTGAGGTTTTATGCTGTTTACATCATGTCCTGAAACATCTTTAAACTGCAAATTGCAATGTGAACAAACCATCATTTCCAGCTAATGAAAACTTGTTTTATGAGTCAGGCATGATACAAATTATTTAATTATTTTAAAATCAATTTTGGATCTTTATTTTGGGATTTCCTACTTCTGTTTCTTTTCAGTTGCAACATTAGTAGGTATTTTTGCTAAAACACAGCTTCCTCTTCTAATAAATTAAACCCAAGAATCACATGACTCCATGATCTGAAATCTAAATAAATTGTTGGATATTTAAAATAGAATACATTTTATAAGACTGAGACATTTAAAAAAATGGGCTGATTAACATGACTGTGGCATAAACAGTTGAAAATTTATTTTCTTTCTGAGAATTACCTTAAGAATTGTGATCCTCTGGTGTTAGCATTTAGCCAGTGAGGAATTCAGGTGTTCTTTGTTGGCAGAAGCAATCTATCAGTCCCTGGAAGAGACCCAGTACATCTCAGCAAAGAAAATAGCCCACACTATTACCAACCTGCAAGTGCCATGCTCCGTGGTAGAATGGGATGTCACATCCCATTAGCAGTACGTTAATGGCACCTACCTTGAAACATAATTTTTAGTTTTCAGAGCTGATGGGTACTGGACTAAGGTTGAGGTTAGGGTTACAGGGGGATCTTGGTGAGTTAGAAAGTTCTGTTTGTTCTTCAAATAAAGCAGGTTTTTCAAAGCAAGGCTCTAAAACAATAGCCGTATTAAGTAGTGGGATTAAACATGACTCTAAATCAATCAATATTTCCTCAGGCATTCAAGCAAGAAAAATTATTTTGGAAGTAGTCATTCAACTTCTTCATACCAAGAAATGACATTATGTCTAAATCACAAGTAATATTTCATGCCTTTAATGTCTTATAGTACTGCATACTATTTCATTTCCATTCACTTTTGATTGAGAAAGACCAATTAGAAAAATTGTACTATGCCAGTTCTTAGAAACAACTTCTTTCTAGAAACCAGACATGTTTATGGTTTGGAAGACATGATTTCTCACATTATCTAGCATGATATAGGGCCATAGTTGTCCCTTTTCTACCTTGAAGGGCCTGAAAAGATTCATTTTCAAGTGAGTCAAATTTAACAATGTACAGCAAATACACTTAGCAAAAAGCTGCCTAAATAGAGTTTAACAGACATATGCATTTTCACAAATAATTTTGGCATCTGGGGTTTGCTTTTTCTATTTTGCCTTCCCTGCATCTTCATGAGGCAATTGTAGGAGAAATAGCTAGAAAAGCAACAGTGGCAACATATTGGAAAAATGATGGTTACAGATGGTATAAAAAATACTATTCTGTTGAAAATCTATAAAGACTTGGAGCAACAGACAAAAAGAAAGCAATATAAAATACCTTTAAAATCCAAAACCATTTTCGTTTAGTAGCTTTATCTGCAGAGTTAACAAAATGCACTTGAAATTTGAAAGTAGAGATTGTAACAGGTCATGTTCTTAGCACATGCTCCAAGCTATATTGGAGGTTGTCAATACCTTCAACAGAGTAATATTATATTCCCTACTTTTAATAATGTTTCAGCTTGACACCATCAAATTATTGTATGCTTCTTTTGACAAAAGTAAAGTTTGTATTTCTCAAAAGTCATTATATATGACATTTGTATTGCCATTTTTTGCCTTTTAATTTGTAATAATAAAAGTGACAAGGTTTACTGGAACACAAAATAGAACCTAAAGTGTCCAGAACTACCATCTCCCAGGAGAAGAGCGGACTCTCCACCAACGCTTTCATTACCAACATTAATTTTCTGTGTATGCTAGGGTTTCCATAGAGGTGTTCAGATGCTGCCACAAATCTGAAATGAATGAAGACTGTGGGAATCTGTGCGTAGGTGTGCAGTAGCCAGGCTGCTGAGAGTTGAGCGTGACTGATGTGCAGATAGCAGGCTATGTGTGGAGAATGATAAACGTGCTGGGGGGAGGGAAGATGAGTGCACGCGTGAAAGGGAACTTGCTTTCCATTGCCTGATTTTGCAGCACACCCCCTCTTTCAAGGTTATCTCCTCTCTCCCCATATTCGATTGCACTTGACAGTGATGAGTGCTGCAGCCAGATGAGACACACTTATTTCGCTGAACAATCCCAGAGGACTTTGAAAGACAGAACAATCCCCCAGCCAAGGAATGACTTAGGTCTCCAGGATACAAGCTGGGCATTTTTATTTTTTCTTGAGAAACAGAGGTTCGAAGCAGCTGAGGCTATTTGTAGACTGAGGTCAAACCCAGCAAATATCCAGATTATCAGTTTTAAGGGATGACTTTATCCAAAAGTCCTGCTGCACCAATAGAAAGTATTTGCAGGACCAATCCTTCCTGGGACTTCTGCTTTCAGTGATCCACTCCAGTCACCAACTACACATAAGATTTGCCAAGGGTGACCAAGAGACACAGACAGACAACACAGGGCAAACACAAGGCTCTGGCAGGCAAGGGCTCAGAGGTTCCTCTGGGAGCCCCTGGCCCTGGCTGCACCCTGACAGTTTTCCTCTGTAGGTTTTGAGTTAGCAAAGGGACATTTGCTAACTCAAATTAGCTAACTCATTTGCTAAAGTGCCCCCTTTCTCTCTCCCTGGGGCTGTGAAAATTTTGCACAATTGTTGTTGGACTGTCAGGGAAAGATTCTGAATCCCATTCCCAAGCCCTTTCTGTGTCTTAGCATTTGAAAATACTTCTCATACAAAATAATGGGGTAATTTCTTTCTCCAAACTTCCTGCTTACATCATTCTGTGAAGGGAGGATGAGCAAGACTAATTAAAGATGTTAAAGTCATTGTAAGAGTTGGTCACTTTAATGAAAAACTCCATATTAAAACACAAGTAGCTGTTCCATTTACTGTGTTCCTGACTTTTTTCCCATGAAAGCATTAATTGCTTTGCAAATCAAAAAATGTGTACATGTATATACGTTTATATAAGTGTATGTATACACATACAACAGAGGGCAGATTTAAATTTTATATTGGGAGGAAATTCCTTGCAGTGAGAGTGCTGGGAGACTGGAACAGGTTGCTCAGATAAGTTGTGCATGCCCCATAACTGGTCTGTTCGAAGCCAGGTTGAATGGAGTTCTGAGCAATCTGGTCTAGTGTAAGGTGTCCCTGGCCATGGCAGGGGACTTGGATATATATGATCTTTAAGAGCCTTTCCACCCTAATCCATTCTGTGATTCTGTGAAATTTAGTAAAATTTCTAAATTCTCAAGAGCTTGTTACACTCCATAACAATTTTTTTCAGGGAAACCAACTGTCTTTAAGTGTTATGTTTTATTTTGCACTGGGAAATTTTCCAGCTACTAACTTCTGGTCATTTTATATCTAGATTTGAGGTGATGAGGGTATTTGTAACAAGGATTTAAAACATTATGCTGAAAGAAGGTAACACTAATAGACACTGAACTTTCAAAAGCTCCTATTGTTCAAGTGTTGTGGCTCTTTTAACATGTTTTACCCAAGTTCATTATAGATGCATTCTTCATAGACTCTTAGAAAATACTTGAAGTTTCCTGGCAGTATTTCTTTGGCAATGCCTGTTATTCATCCAAGCTGAACTGGAATGTACTGGAGAATCTAATCCTTGTTCTCTTTGGTGCAATAAGAATATTGTCTGCATAAAGTTACCAACAAACTGTTCAATGACCAACTGAGCACTGGGATCAGTCTTGCCCTAGACTATTGATTTCTCGAGGTCAGGATTGAAGGCACTTGAGACAGAATACTGTCTCAAGTGTCTCATGTTCAGACTCAGGTGTTTATTATTTCTTATCTATGTTACAGTCTCACTACTGTGAATTCAGCAGCTTTTTCATTAGCAAAGAACAAAATGGCTAAGTCTTCTTACAATGCTTTTTAAAATAATTATCCAATTTAGAAAGGACACCTAGATAATATTCCCTTTTAACCCAGTAACTCATCCCCCGAAGTCCGCAATGTGGACTTTTCTGTCCAATCACAAAACGTCACCCAAACCCACAATGAAGAAGGAAGAAGAAGGTGAAGAACAACCTGTCTCCACCCTAAAACCTCCATCTTGCTTCATATTTATTTCTATATTCTAAAATCCCAAATTCTAAGTTTTCCACCCAATGATATTACACGCTTCCAACCAACTATTCCCCCATAATCCCAGTATCCCAGTGCTATTAATCAATTTTAAAAGCTGTTCCATGACATCAGGTTAATTGCAGTGTTCTTTTGTGGGTCTGTGCCTTTAAGCATGGAAAGTTTAAAATTCTCAGCATCCAGGATTCCAACACTGGATTTTTGCTTTTACCTGTTGGCACATCAAATTTGCAAATATCTGCTTCATTGGATTCTTTCTCTTACCTTTATGAGATGTAACCCTCACACAATTTAGAATGAATTCTAGAATATTCAGTTCAAATCCCATAAAAGACCAAGGCCAAAGGTTTCAGTTACATGACTGCTGAAATTCAAAGCTGAGACTCGACTGTACTTTCTTTCCCTGCTGCTGCTGAGGTTATTGTTAGCAATCATTTTACTGAGAAAAGGTGGATTAAAATAACCTTCAGAAAGAGAAATAATGAGTGGTTAAATAGCAGTGTTCTACAAGATATACTTAGACTCAACCATTTTACTGTTTCCTCAGCCACACTGGTGATCATAAATCCTTTATCTTTCTCCAAGCTCAGTGGCTGTGCCAGCCCTTCATCCTGAGAAACTTCATGTGGCCTGTACAGGACTTCACAGTAGGATTATGGATTCAGCAGAAAGCTCTGCTCAAAGAGGGGCAGGAAGTCAAAGGACATTTGTTTTGTACAGCACACCAGTGTGTGCAAAAGGAAAAGCAAGTCTTGAAGACAGGGAAATGGAAAAGGAGGTAGAAAAAAAAGTTATTATTTGTTGCTCGTGACAGATATTTTGTTTATTGAGGTGTTCTTCTGCCTTGACTTACTTTCATTTGGTAACTGGAACTGTAATTTCATTGGGCTAATTTGGAATTGACCACCAACATCTGGAAAAACACTTTTCAATCTGCAAGATTCACAGACAAAAGAGATATGCACACAGAGCTGACAAGTATTTTGTCTCTCTAACCTCCCAGTTGTACGTCTGGTAATGGCTAAAGCAAAATCTCCAGATGAAGTAATGTTTTCTATCATGTCAACTCACTGAGAAAAAAGGTACATTTCTCATAAGAAATGCAGTGATCATTCTCCCTTCCTCATACATGGAGGTCCTGACATGTAACCATTGCACATTTGCATTTGGTTCAAACTCACCAGTCTGCTTCTAGGATATAATGGAGCTTGAGGGGAAGAATTTGTTAATCAAAAGATCTCAAAATATAAAAACTGTCTCAGAATTTTGCAATGTCTTCTCTGCTC